CCAGCAAGTCTTGACGGCTTTCATTACAACCAGATTGTTGAAATAAATCAGGCTTCCCTCCTCCCCTGCCTTTTTTTTTTGGTGCTTTCTTTTCTCCCTGCACCCTGAAGCAGTGCATATGGACGAAGGTCTCTAAACGAGAAGCACATTTAAGGGCTAATGAAAGCGATGGGCTATGAAGTTGGGGACCTCACTGAGGCTCCAGTGAAAGTTGTGCATGTATTGACCATTTTTGTCTACTAGGTTTGTTAATTCAACTCAAATAAAAGAGGACTCAAATGCATGATCTCCCTGCAACTGGGCAGGGAGGTAAAATGAGCAAAGCCATAGTCCAAAAAAAAAAGGGGGGGGGGCAAAAACTGGTAAAACAAGGAAATGTCGGCTGGCTGGGACGGGGGGGAAAGGTGGGGGGGGGGCGGGGGGAGAAAAATGGCAAAGGCAGACAATTCATGAATAAATGGTTGAATGAATAAATGAACAAAGAAAAGGTAAAAGTAACCTTTGACCGCATAGATTGCAGGGTATACAGGGCAGTGAGCTCAGCAGCACTACACTTGGCAAGCAATTAGAAATCCTGCACCATCTTTAATTTTAGATTGTTTGTACTGACTTTGATGGGACTTTCCTTTGTCCATTTCTTTGGTAAGTTGCTAATCCATGATATGTACAGAGCTGTGATAAAATAGTTGGTTCTTAGTCAGGGTTAGCTAATTACTTGCATTAACACAACCATCTTGTTTGATAGGTTAACCACATGTTTTTCATTCAGCCTGAGATTAGAGGCCTGACAAGTGAGGAAGGAAACAAATTACAGTACACAGAAGGTTGATCTCAGTGGTCCACATCCATGAAGTCCAACTGTTCAATTTGGCTGTCAAAGGTTTGACTCCTCCTGCTGACCCATTTATACAAGTGAAGGTTCTTACCTTTGATACTAAACCTGTTGTCTGTGTCTGCAGGTCAGTCCTGCCAATAGTTTAACCCTCCTGTTATGTTGACCTGAACAGTATCTTTGTAATATAAACATGCAGGGGGATGTTGCAAATATGTGAATTGAACCATTTTCATTTTATATGTTGATCACACCTATTACGCCAAGCAGACGAAGTTTCATACCAATAAAATATTTTTAACTATTTTTTTAAAATTTTTTTTTGTTACTTTGCACTGGGTCAATTTGACCCAGAACATAACAGGAAGGTTAAGCATAGACTTACTAGCTGCTGCTGACTTACCAAGTGATCTCATCTGTTACTGAAACTCTCCAAACAGAGACGATGTCTAAAAGTCCAGTTCATCAAAACATATTCCTTTTATGCATATCTTTGACAGGTTCAGACAGTATGACACATTGAATGCTATTCTAGGGCAACACCTTGTCATGATCATTTATTTGGCAGTGGTAAAGTTTGTTTGGTCTGGACAGCTTTTACAGAGAATTATTCAGGGAATTCATGGCGTTCACCAAGAAACGAATAAAAAAATAATGTTCAAGACAGTCACAGACAAACATTATGTGGTTCCTTCTTATATCGGTGTGTACTATTATGACATTTTATTAGGTCTATATTGAGTTTTATACACACTACCCACAGTTTGGCTGAATCCTAAGATCTTTCTTTATTGCCACATATGCCAACCAAGGCCCAAGCCTTTAAAAGCAGGTCTTGTTTTAGCAAACACACAAAACAACCAAACAAACCAACCTTGTAATTTTTTTGGAATTTCAGGATGATAACCCCAAAAAAAACCCACCTTCCAAACTATAGTTGCTGCTGTCAGTCTGTAGAAGATTCCACTAAACTGAATTCTCTTTTTCCTGGAAACTGAAATGGTATAATCTGCTCCTTGAACCAAACCAACAATATCTCAGTAGACTTCAAATGCAGTACACTATGCCTAGTTTAGGTATACTTCACTTTGTATTTTTTCCCAATGTGATAATAATTATAAGATCATTTGTAAGTGAGACACAAGGACTGACTGCTAAAACCTGTTAATTCTGTTGTCAATCCAAATGCAAATGTTTCTTGATCCTCCCATTTGTTTCTTCACTCATTATTTAGCGTAACAAGCTAAGTACATTAAATCAATGAAGGAGCTGCATCAGAATAGATTTTTATGCTAGATGCAAATAATAGTTGGCAAAAACATACAGCGATCTCAGGTGTGAGTAACTATACCACATTTTAAAATCTCTTCAGGGTGACAGTTCATTTATTTAGACTCTGCCCTTAGCGCTGCCTGCTGTCTTTTAACAGAGGCTGGTGCTTTTTCACTGTGTTTCTGCCCGAGTGGAAAACATGGCTCTTTAATCTTTCAAAACACATTTTGCCTAATATGTAGTGGCTGAAACCAAGCGGAAAATGTACTAGCTGTGCCAACACTGAAAAGCTGTAGAAATATGAAGTTAACCGCAGCATGACCACTATTGCTGGTAGAGATTTAAAGTCAACCTGCTGCTTCGTGTGCCTCCTCCAAACCACTTAAGCATGTTTTCTCAGACCTGCGTACAGTGTAACCAAGTAAAGTGCAACCTTTTGATTTTGCACAACCAGCACAGGTATAGTTAGTAACGTAATGGCTGCATACAGGGTCCTTGTATTTTTAACATGAGGGCTCTCATATTGAGACATTTAAATGGCATGTATCCATAACCTGTATAATTGGATACACCTGTACTTTTCCTGCTTTGACAAATCAAAATGCTTGCCATAATACAGCCTATTAAATTAATTATCCTTGCAAGGCTGCAAATCTTACACAAACATTTCTAACAGACAGCCCAAAAGATCCATGGCATGCTCAGTCTAGACTGCAGCTTTAGTTTTTTTTAATCCCCCAGAGCAGACATATCCAAACAGTGAAGTCACTATTGTCTGTATTTGGTTGGTCATGGATACTAACTGACACAAACCAGGACTGTTTTCTGAATTTGGAAAGATTTATCAAATGCTCAGAAGAAAAACTGACATAACTTTCTACCATTACATGTTGTATTTTGTATTCATTGCGATTAAGATGTAAAAATCACAAAAGTTGAGTCAATGAGAAAAACATGGAATTTCTGTGGAAATTATGTCTTATTTTATCTTTTTTTTTCTCCACTGGCACTGTTCTTGACTATTAGTGGAAAATATAGAAATGACCTCCAGCCACAAACCTACATAACGTCACAAAGTAATCATGCTGTGACTGAGGTTAGTGTAAATGTTTGTATGTATGAGCATAATTAGGTATTGAGAGATACAGGCTGTGTGTAATCAGCATCTGTTGTTACTAGAAATCCTTACTCGGTTATTTGTTTTTATGTTGCTGTAAGACAACACCCCTGTACATTCAAAACAGATTTATAGCATCAAATGGGCCCAAGTTCCTCAAATCCACAAGGAGGAGGAAAACTGCTAAAGGCCTTGCTGCTGTGCATGTTAACATGTACAGTAGTGCTCCATTAAAACATATAAGTGACTTGAATCTTAGGCAACACCATTCTTGATAAAATGCAAACCACAGGCGCAAACATTTTAATACTGTTTTTTTTTCCACAACATTGCTCTCCTGCAAATGCATAAACAAAAATATAAATGACATGACTGACAAAGGGAAGCAATAAGAAAAACGTTTCCCTGAATAAACAGGGAAGGTACTGTAACAAGCATGTTGGAAATATTTCAACCATTTCCTGCCCCTGTCACTGTCCAAAGCAATCGAGTCTTCCAGTCGATATACTGAGGGAGTGCAGATAAATGAACATCTGTGTCTGTGTTTATACTGGAATACTGACAGAGTGAAAAACATAGTGAAACCAGGGATTGGCAAGTTGACTTTGGACAATGTAGTGCATGGACTCAGCCATAAGGCAGACAATGCTGCAAAGATGGGAAAGCAAGAAAAAAAAAAAACTGCCGCAGACACACACCTGAACAAACTCAGCGATAACACCCAATTGTCCAGTCTTTCAGCTGTTAGATACCCAAGACTTAAGGAAGGTCATTTTTTAAACTTGGCTCAATTGAGTACATTACATTTCATGGTTCTTCTTCTTTTTTGTTTTCTTGCAATGAAATATGCAGCAGTGTTTTGTAAGGCTCAATATTGGCCCTGTTTCTTAAAATGCTTGTCAGCATACTGTATATTATCACAATAAAAGTCAGTAAGGTTCTGCACCAATGTGTCTAAGGCACATCTATGTAAACCTATTATTATACTTTGTAACTGAGGATTTCTTTCCATGATTTTTTTCCAAGGAAAGTTATTAAAAACAAGCTAAGCTAAACTAAAGGCTTGTGATATTCTTAGCCCCAGATGAGGGAAAAAGTAAATACATTAGAACAGCACATTTAGTCTGTATATTTCACAGTAGGGCTGGCAGTACACAAGCAAAAGAAGTCTTCAAGTGCACAAGCAATAATCATTTTGACCAAAAGCACACTGGATGGTTAAAGGGAGGGTATGAGAAAGAAAACGCTGCAGGGAAACACTGTCGGGAACATATCTAGGTCAGCAGAGCCCAGAGGAAGTGAATGCCTAAAATTCACTGACATAGCAAATTGCTTTGAATCTATTTGAACTTAAACATAAATATAAAAGTATGTGTCAATCAAGATATATGCAAGAACAGGCTCAATGATTAATTAGATGGAACATTGTGGGTGTGGTGTATGAATGTTAACACTTTGTAATAATTCTTTAGTATATTACTTGTGTGGTGTAGAAGAGAATTATCTATGTAGAGATACTGCTTGCAAACCAATGATGGTAAGATGATGTCATGGGGTAGGACTGGATAAGTCTGACTTCTTCCTACTCCATTCAAGCATGTACTAGGTATAAGCAAATTGATATGGGATTAGCATCAAAACTTGCTTTCTTTTCATGGCATGCATATACTGCTTTATATGAGCTGCTTCTGTGCCCAAAAGGGTTTTGAACACAATTTTGGGTGCCGTGGCGGTCACAGTCTGTTTGTCTTAACCATGTCTTTATGAAGCGGTGGCAGATCTAGCAGAAAAAAACAGTTTAACACTTCACAGTTATATAGATTAAAATGTTTTAAGGATTGATTATTGCTGGTCTCCGGAATTTCATAAAGTATTTACGTTTGCACTCACTTTTTTCCAACATAGCACAAAGTAATGTTTCAACTCACAACAACAGCAATACTGAAAGGACATAACAACAAAAAATAAAAAATACAAACATATGATAAAAACAGAACATCATGATATTAGCTAGACAGCCTTCCCATCATGACACATAACAATGCAAGGCAAACAACAAGGCAAAGTTCATTCCCAGTGGCTCTTCATTCAGTCCATTTATCTTTCACAGCAAATTCATCACCCACAGAGCCAAATACAGTGGGATGCTCTGAGAGAATTATGGTAGGTCTGTTGATGCAGAAACATCCAAATATGCATGAAATTTCGAAGTTTCTGGTCTGGTGATGTCACCAGCAAAGTATAGAGTTGAGACAGCTTTTATGATCAGAACTCCATTTTATATAGCAGGACTTGTGGTCCAGGAAAGTTTGCATCTGCGTCAGAGTTTTCATTTAGAACACTGTCATTCCTCCACTTCTGTAGCTCAAACACTGAGGCGCTTTTCTCCATACCGTACCTCCCAAATCCAGCAACAGGATTAAAACTCATTCACATAGTTTCTCTAATACAAAGACATTTTGAAAATGAGCCGTCGATTACTGTTGTGTCAATGCAAAAAGGCACTTCTGTTTTCAGTCTGCTACTAAGACTCTTCTAGTCAATTGCACTTTTAATCACGTGGTCAGGTTTCGCGGCCATCAAACTCCACTAAATGACATATCCTGTTCATTGGCGCACAGTGGTTTAGCATATTTTCAATACGCTGTAATCATAAATTCATTATTTAATATCTCTCAAATAGATGTTCCATTCTGTAGTGTAGTCTTCTGCATTGTCATGCAGAAAAGTTCAAATAAGTATGTGCAACTTTTTAAGTTGTGGATATCTGAAATTGGAATGAAAATTTTATTTTTAACCACAAAGAGTCATAGCAGGATCTGATGGGCAAGCCAACTCTCTAAGATACAAGTGTTGGTATTTTATTGCATCTTAGGAATAAGATGGTTTTAGGGATACTAGATTATTATTGGATGGGCAGTGCCCTTGCATCAAGGGCATCTCAGAGTCCAAGCCCCCATTTTGTTGTAAGGATGGAGGTGGCTGTGGAGTATGACAGCGGTCTATCTCAGGCTGTTTGTGGGGTAGTGTACCATTTCCCTCATTCTCCAGACAGGCTTTGATCCCCTCCAGTTCCATGGAGTCAGGATCAGCTGGGCCCAGCTCCATCTCCATTCCTGCCTTGGTTTTCCTCCTCTTTCGTAGACAAATGATCAACCCGGCTATCACAGCTAACCCCAGCACCAGTGCCAGAGCAGCCAGAGTGGGAATGAGGGTATATGTTAGCTGGCTCTGTGTCTCCACCCTGGGTTCTAAGGATGTCAGTGAAACCCCTTCAGTGCGAGCTTCTGTACATGACCTCATTTCTACAGAGCTATTAGACCTAGAGTTAATTCTCTCACCCAGGGGACTGGCACAGACTGAATAGGTACAGTTGGGTCTCAAACCACGCAAAGTGTACTCAGGGTAGGATGCCGGTACACTCAGGATAATGGGGCGACGGTCAGGCCCTGAGAGGTTACGGTAGGTCAACCTGATGCCACGGATGTGTGGCCGTGTCTCAATGAAGCGGTGCAAGTCAAGAAGAATGGATGTGGAGGTCACCTGCCGTGAGCTGATGGCATTAACTTCAGAGGGAATAGCTGGGGCATCTACTGAAACATGTGTTGCTGAAGGTTTTGGTGGCTCTGGAACTTCATCCACATTTTCACAGTAGAGCCCAGAAGTTCCTGAAGGACACAAACAGCTGAGTTGACCCAGTGGATCAAAATTACAAGTGCCCCCATTGAGGCAGATGTTTGCTGGGCAGATGTTTTGCTCATATTCTCTGCTGGTGGAACTAGGGGAGACTGGAGGTTCTGGTGGAAGGGGGTAGTTCTCTGTTGCTGAGGAGATGGTTTCCTCACTGGGTGGTGGAGGTGGAGGAATATCATTGGTATGGGTACTTTCACGAGGTGTGGTGGGCATTTGGGGAACAGAAGTACTTCCAATGGGGGAGGCAATCACCACTGATGTTGTGGTTGGTGGACATCCAAAATCTTTGTACTCCAGTGCTGAAAGCATCTTCCCAGCATTAACAAGAGGGAAATGGCATCTTGTATCCTCAGGCCTTCTAAGAGTTACACCCTTCTCTTTTAGCCACACAGGAAACCAGGCTAATGGACACAAACAGTTGAATGGATTCTCAGCTGCTGTCAAGTGCATCATCTTATGAAAGGTCTGGAAGAAACTCGGAGGAAATCCCTGGAGATTAAGTCCACTGAGATCCAGTTCTTGAATTCCCGTCAGCTTCTGGAAGTCCTCCATCCTGAGTTCACCTAATGGGTTGGCAGCCAGGCTGAGCTTTGTCAGCCCTTTGAGGGAGTCCTGCTTTAGGGCCTGCGGCACCTCAGTTAACTGATTAATGGAGATGTCAAGCTCATGGAGGTTCCCCAGGGAGGCAATGAGATCCTCATCTACAGAGGTAAGCCCAAGAGAGGCTACCTTAAGGGCTTCCAGGTGAGGAGTCTGAAGGTCTGATGGTCCCAGGGTTGGGATGTTGTTGTAGCTGATGTCTAAAAGCAGAAGGCTAGGGAAATGAAGGGATGGCAAAGAGGTGAGCTGGTTCCCTTGAAGCTTGAGTTCCAGAAGCACTTCTAAACCTTCAAAAGCTTCCAAATGGATGCTCTGAATGTGGTTTGCATGAAGATACAACCTCTCCAGCTGGACCAACCCATAAAAACTGTCTTTGGAAATGTGGGTAATGTAGTTAGCGGACAGGTCCAAATTCTTAAGCTTTGACAGCATCTCAAACACTCTGTCTGGAATCTCTGCCAGCTTATTCTGGCTCAGATCTAGCATCTCCAACTGCCCTAGGCCTTTAAAGTCATCTTGGGCCAAGGTGCTGATACCATTTTGGAAGATATAGAGATTTTGGGTGGTGGTGGGAACACGGGGCACAGTGCTAGAACGTCGATGATGGCAGAATATGGAGTCCTCGGGCTGGCAGGAACAGTCTGCTGGGCAGTCAGTGGATAACACCAGGCCAGTTGAGAGGAACAAGAGCAGGAAGTGAGGCAACATGGTGATGTCAGGCATGAAACTGAAAGATGAGAGAGAGAAAATAACTGGTGTTAATCACCGTTCGCTTTCTAATCTGGTCATAATTAAAAGTGAGAGTTTACAGTAAGAAACAAAGACATAAACCACAGTGTAAATGGATAGACTTTATAGACATAATTATAGGGGAATATATGAAAGCTGTGTAAATGATATATTTGTCAGTCTAAGTCCTGAAGCCTTATTCTATTGGTTCATCAATAAATGCCAGATGATTTTTTTCTTTATCCCTTCCACAAACATTTCCATGCACTCATTCTGAAGCTTGCAAGCACAAAGAGTTCATTACTATGGATATAAGCACACGTTAGCTAAAACGTCAAACCCTAGCTTCAACACTCACAAGCATATATGTCAACAAGGGACAAGGGGCTCTGTTTGGGGATGTGAATATCTGTGTGACAAACAATCCATCAATAAGATCCAATTTCCAGCACTAAAAAAGAGAGAGAGTGTGTGTGGGTCATGATTACTGCCAAGGTTTTATCGATCAAAATGTCCAAACACAGCTCTAAAGGGGATACATGTGTGTTAAAATGTAGATCAAAACTCTGAATTTAAACCTCAAACTGCCTTCTTTTCTAACTTTTTCTCTTGTGAGGGCCCACAAAACTGTATGAGAGCAAATAGTTAAGTTGCAGATGTTAAAGAAAAAGTATGCTCCAAAAAGCCAAGACAGATTTATTGCATAGACTACAGCGTGAGTAGTGGCTCCTTAGTGTAATACATGTTGTGACTCACTTCACTGTCTAAGAAGATAAACAGTCACACCCACTCTTAACGTGACTTCTGTTTCCCGTCTTTCCACTTTATATGTCAATTGTCTGTGGCTTTACCTGACTTATGGACAGAGATACAGTATTTTACAAGTGTTGTAGACTGAACTAATATTTGATTGATGTTTCAGTGGACTGATTGCCAAACTAGGTCTGAAGTCACAAAGCTTACCTTGAATGTAATGTTAAACTTGTATTCAAGGTAAGTACAGAGAAACTTGATTTCTGCATGCTCTACTACAATTTCCCATTATCACAATGTGCAACTGAATGAAATATGACCAAGAACGTGTGACAGTGGGTACATCTCAGTTCCCTTAATTCAGTCCACATTCACTCACTTGCATGTTTTCCTTGCATCCCACTGAGGATGTGTAGAGAGAGGAAACTAGAAAATATATTTTTAGATGTACCGGAAACAAATTCCTTGTGTGTAACATACTTGGCCAAATAAAGGTGATTATTATTATTATTATTAAATGAGATGTGATTGTTTCTGATTATGCCGACTCAACTGGATCAGCTGTCAGTCTGTATAGCTCTGTAGAGATTTGTGTTGGCCTGGAGTTTCTATTTGCCCAACTACACTGTACAAATAATAATTAGGGCGCATCTGTGTTTTTCATTGTAACTTTCTTTTCAGTCTGTCTGTATGTTTGGATAGGTTTAAAATATTTGACATAGTACACTTTGCTGTGCTTAGATCACTCAAACCACAGCATTAATGTATTTCATGGCTCAGACACTGAATGCACCATAATTCTACTGACAGCAACTGTTTTTCTAAATTTAACAGTTGTTTGAATCTGCATATATTGGTATCCTGTTTGTAATCGCATTATACAGTAATTCAGATTATGAGTAAAATGTCTTGTAATGTTTTGCAGAAGTTGTTTATTAGCCCAAATGTGTAAGACAAGAGGTCCCTCATCACTCCTCAGAGCAGAAATAAAAGCTTTGGGATAGTCTTCAAGATGGAGGACTGGGTTGATTTCAGGGTTAAGCGAGGAGCAAAAAAACGATCAAATAAAAGAAATGGGATGTACTCACACTTACTTTTGTTCAGTGTGAAGAGAAAACTGGAGACAGCAAAGCAGCTAACATTAATAAATGTCTGGCATCCCGTCACTGAAGCCACCAAACCACCCTGTCAAGTCAATCAGAAGAAAACAAAAGCTGTCCTCATCAGAATTATTCTCACTAAGAAGTAAAGAAAATGCACACAACAGTGCACACCTTGATTCACTCAGTGAAACTGTCTGCAGTCTGACAGCATGCTCAACCGATGAGAATGTATTACTGCTATGGTGAGGAAGTGACTGCTTCTGTTTGATGTGCATGCTTGGGAATCCAGAGCTTTCTTTGTGAACAGTCGCTTACAGAACAGTTATAGAACAGGAACAGGGTTATAATAGGAGCTGCGTGTCATTCCTTAAGGGTGCTGCACAGGCACACAAGAATAATTTGATGACCTGAGAGGAGAGGAATGAATGGAATATAAACTGTGTTTAAGAGAAAAAAGAAGAAAGTAAAGGAAAATTGTGTATATGGGAAGTTTTCTTTTAACAAATCTTACATTTTGCATATTGCAATTAACATGTTGGGATTTCCTCTTCATACTATTCAGGAAATATCCTTTTATAGACCACATCTGCGGTTTCAAATTCCAAGGAAACAGTCTGTACAGAATGTGCCTTTGCTGTTCCAAAAGGCCTGTGTCAGGACATGCACTGTAGGTAAACTCTCCCAACAGGATCTGTCATTTAAAGCTTCTCTGTAGCTGGGTAAGGTAGAAACACCTGCAACTACAGAGGATAAGAATTCAAGCCTCCATGACAGCAAGTCTCCGCCCCACTTAAACATCCTTGTTTAAGAAATCGGATCCTTTCATGCCTTATGGTTGCTGCTATATAGCTGAACCTGACCTCTGACCTCCCCTGTGGATAGGAGTGAGGAAAAACTGTCTTCTTCTTATTTTAGTACTTTTTTAATTTTGAGTTATTCTTTCAACTGTGGCTGTTTGTCACTATAGATTCATTGAAACACTTTAATACCATTACTTTAATTTCCTCTACAGTTCTAATTGCTTCAAATTGAATGCATGGCCTCTTTATGCCCCTTTCAACAACTATATCGTGCAGAACTGCATTTGCATTTTTAAACTGCATGCTGTCTTCATGAATTGCATTTTGCTCTTTCTTTTCAACATTGTGGATAATGTCGTTTCTAACAAACTAGCTGCGTGTTTTGAAGGTTTTGTGTTTCACATAAAAGCAGTAATGGCAGTTTTTAAGTTCTGGCAATGAGCAGTGTTATTTTACCTTTGGTGCGAAGTAGTATTGTACTGTACTGTAGAACTGTAGTAGAACTATTTTGAATAGAAATGCACTGAATTTTCTTGGCTAAGTCAGATTAAATTAATTTTTTTAAGTTTGACCCATCAATTTTGATTTTGGCCAATTCCGATTTTTTTTTCTCTCTAAGAACTGCAATTAACAAGTTAGTAGGCATGAGAATTCCTATGGTATTTGCTGGAAATCCAGTCTTTTTGGGGTCCCAAAAGTCATTTCTATACCTCAAAGATGGTGAGCAATAATGTGTGCAATTCTATGTTTGCGAGGAGAACAGAACAAAAGGTGCTTTATATATGTGTTCCTGATTGGTTGGCATCGACTCCCGATGCATTAGTAAGCTTACTTGTGATTGGTCCCCTCCCCAAACTACTAGCAGAAATAGTCGTGCCTACACATTTGACTGCCACTGAATCAGCCCTTACAGGTGCAAATCTCTTTAGACAAGCACTGAACATCAAACCCGCAGTGCAGAAATGTCCGGAACACAATGTGAAAAATGAAAAGCTTACAGCTCAATATGAGCACGCCTATGCTAAGTACCATCACATGTTGACCCTCTTCTGGTGTTTGATACTGCTCAAGGGCCAACATCGCAAAGCCAAGAATCTGCCATCTACCCTATTAACCATAGCAGGCAAAACATTGGCAGCAGTTATACCCTGCATATATTCAGTCTTTCTTCACACTGTAATCTTAAATTTATGTTGCAAAACCTGTTTTCTTTGCTCTTTCATGAATTCATAATTAAATGTGACAGCGAGCATTCTGTTGTTAAGACTTTGTGGCACACAGCTTATCCTCAGCCATTTGGATGAGCGTGGATAGGACTGCGTGGTGAAAGAAAAACGTTGCTGTCAAACTGACATGAAACAGGTCAACAGGCAACCAAGACCAGCAGAGCAGTATAACACACAGCCAAGAACACACACAAACACACATACACACACACACACATTCCTGCACACGTTCACACCAGCAGACACACAAACAGTCTACAACACAGCTGGATTTTGTTACCCACAATACACTGCAGCCATCTCTCACTGTGAGACAGAATGAAAGGCTCATATAAACCTATGTCCTCCTCTGTGATAAGAAAAAAGTAGAGCGGGAGACTAACAGACAGTGAGTATAAGAGGAAAACTGAGAGGGAAAAGGACAAGAGAGAGGAAGAGAAAGAAAATTGGTGTCTTAACAGCTGGTAGCCGATGACTGCCTCCATTCATCCAAAATCAAAGGTTCATGACAAACGCCAGATACGGCAATGCTGTATATTTCCTCAAAGTGGGGTTTAGGAAGTTCTAGAAACCCTTCTTCACGCACAACTACTGTTACTGTATATGTACAACTATTAGCTTAAAAAAAAAAAAAAAGGATAAGTCCACTTTAGGCCCTGTGATGGACTGGTGACCTGTCCAGGATGTACCCCGCCTCTTTTCAATGTCAGCTGGGATACACACGTCGACAAACAAGCATGTGTAAAAATACAATATACAGTGATCCAAAACACACACAAAAGCAGTTTTCAACCATTTCTATCACCAGGTTTGTTCTTATAGTTAAAAATCCAAACAACTGAACTGTAAAAAATACAAATGAGTAGCAAATGAGTTAACCAACTGAAAGTAATAATTTAAGTGTGGACACGGCCTAAGGTGCTTTGAAAAGTCTTGACCTTTAACCTCTCTGCACTCCAGCAAATCCCTAGATGGTAAGCAAGAGTCCCTACCTACTGTAGTACAACACAAACAAACTACAAAGGACCAGTACATAAATAGCAGTGTCTGCCTCAAGAACAGCAGATGAATTGTAGTATGCTGCAAAATAAAATAAAACCACTATTTTATGTCTTG